GTGGGGGCCCAATAGTGCTAAAGAAAGCACTGTGCGGCAATGGCTCAATAAATTTCGCTCTGGAGATTTCAGCCTTGAAGGTGAGCCTCATAGCGGTCGACCTAAAGCAATATCTGACGAGGATTTTAGGGGGATTTTGAAGGTTGACCCATCCCAAACAGTTCGAGAGATAGCAGAAGAGCTAGGCCTTGGCAAATCCACTGTTGCAGATGGTCTGGAACGCATTGGGAAGGTGAAAAAACTCGACAATTGGGTGCCCCACAATCGGAGTGACCGGCAGGAATCGGCACGTCTCGAGGTTCCTTCTTCACTGCTTTTGCGCAAAAGAATTGACCCGTTTTTGAACGGATTTGTCACCTGTGATGAAAAATGGATCATGTATGATAACAGGAGACGTTCCGGACAGTGGTTGGATTTGGAGGAACCACCGAGGTAATTTTCAAAGCCGAACCCTCGCGAAAAAAAAATTCTGGTCAGGTTTGGTGGTCATCGGCTGTTGTAATCCACTATAACTTTTCATCACCAGGCCAAACCATCACAGCAGAACCCTACTGTGAACAAACCGACCAAATGTACCGAAAATATTGTCAGCTGCAGCCAACACTTATCAAAAGAAAGGGTCCGATTCTTTTGCATGACAACGCCCGCCCACACGTTTCACAAATCACTATCCATAAATTGAACGAATTGGGAGTTGAAGTTCTACCTCACCCACCATATTCTCTAGACCTTTCACCAACCGACTGTCACCTTTTCAGACATTTTCAGAACTTCCTTGCTGAAAAATACTTCATCAATTAAGACCAGGCAAAAAAGACCTTCGCAGATTTCGTGGATTCTCGACCACCCAGTTTTTCCTTTTATGGGACTTTTCTATCGAACTGCTAGCCCACATGGCAAAAGAATGTTGCTGATTCGAATGAGTGACTTATTTGCCGACTTCAATCCGAGATGAGTGATTTAAGAAAAGTATATGATCAGTTTTAAAGTTAAACACCCAAACGCCCCTAAGAATTTCCGGTCAACCTATATTATCAGTCACTATGACTTCCTGTCACCCACCTCCAATGCCTTTTTGCCCCTGCCCCCATGCCTCTTGTAGAAACCAACTACCCACTGCTGCTATGGCGCCCTCTATAGCTTTCCGACGCTCTCTATACCAAACCTTATCAGCACTTAGGCAGCGTTCATACTTCGCGACAGCAGTGGCGATCGTCGGTACGCGGCAGAGCGCGCCCCAACGCTATTACTTGGACCGCTCGCTTTGATAAATAAGGAAATCCAACTTGTAATACCTTTTTTCTCTTAATAATGGCTACTAGCTGGAAACTGAGGACTTTCTCTACCTAAGAGGATCTGGAATATAAGGGAGGAGATGGTTTCACCTTTTATTTAGGCCGGGATAAGTGCAACTTCATTCAATAGGTGAGCTTCTCTTTGTTTCTTTTGTTTTCATTGTTTCAATTTATATAAGTGTCTTGAAACTTTCCTACTGGCCAAACTGTTCAACTTCCAAACATTTATAGTTTACAAGTCGAGTTCAAACAACGAAAAAAAAGAAACAGAAAGGAACTCACCTAGGAATCAAAACACTAATTCTTTTATGCAACATCGAGGAGGAGGAAACTTCATAAGTTGTATAAGCTCGAAGAATGAAAAAAGAAACAATAAGAAACTTACCCTGAATGAAGCCCCCTTGCTTTTTGCTCATTTCTATCCTGAATCAAAAAGAAAATAGAAAAGAAAAGCCATTAAGTTTCATCCACCTTTCCTTGAGTCAAAACGAACTCTAGTACCTGAGTCAATTGCAATTAAAAGAAAAAAAAGCAGGAAATTAAGCCAATTCCTCCTAATAGCACTCGGAGCGGTCCAAGTAATAGCGTTGGGGCGCGCTCTGACGCGTACCGACGATCGCGGCGATCGCCACTGCTGTCGCGAAGTATGAACGCTGCCTTATCAATCAATCACTTCTTTCGCCTATCATAAACACTCGACGGAATAGGCGTGCCGCGTTTACACTGGACCGGATGAGTTATATGTGGGTCTTTCTTTTTGAGGACTATCATTTATTCTGTGTATGGACGAAATGACGCGAATTGTGACAAATCAATATTCTCACTAAAACACGCCACTTTACTCAACTGATTTCGCGAGCCACGCCATCACATCCTCATCGATTTGGAAGGTGTATGCTTCCAACCCTCAGCTTTGACAAGTTTAAATACAACCACGTAGACAAATTTAGTGGACTATATTTACCAGAAGGCTAGAGTAATCAGATAGTACGGAGATTATACTGGGATCCAAAGACATAAAACAGCAAGCCTGACGGGATGAGAGGGGTAGACCGCTGTACGGGCTCGTCGCTACACGATAACGGGATGTCGTTCATAACTTTTGCACACCATTAATGTTACTGTTTCTTGAAGCGGAACTGCGAACGTAAGCTACCACTTAATGGGAACAGAGCATTTGTGGTACGAAACACCTGCTTCTTTGCTGCTAAGATCCTGAAGCATTTCAAGGACGACGAGGCCTATTCTCCACAAAAAAACGGGCCACATCAAATAACTAGCTATTATAGATCAAGTTGCACGTGCAAAAGCAAGCTATGCTTTTAAGGCCAATTGGCTGCCTGAACCTCGAATATGTTCCCCAGGAGAGGACCGGAAAAGCCGCGATAGTCCATGACCGTAGGCTTTTAATGAATCCGTACCTTTCGGTGGCTCCCGCTCGAATGAGGTAATCATATCGTCTTGGTTATGGCCATGTTTCTCAGTAAGTAAGGAAAGTAGTATGCGAATCTTTCTGCAATTGCCGCACACGTGGACACCTCAGTCAACCGAGTAACGATACAACGGTCCACGTACACGACTCTAAACTGACCAACGAGTAACTTATTAACATCTCTTGGAGAACTGCCATAACTTGAAGACAAATGCTAGATTATACCTGTTGGGGAAAAAAGCACATCACTTTATAGAATCTACCACCTCTTGAATTGAACCTCCATGAGAAAACTGAAGAAAACTTGAATTATAATTGGGGAGCAAGGCAATCACTTATTAAAGATCGACGTTTGAATGAGCTCATGGTGAAGAAGCAAAAAAGAATCATGGAGAATACCCTAAGTGAACACCTGGCAGCTCTGCGCGAAGACGCTTTTCCAGGGTCCTGCCTTTCTATCCAGCAAAAGGACTCTCTGCGCTTCCGCACATTATGTTCCTTGGCTTCACATTCCCAAGTCACCTTCCCAAATACCCATCTCCAGTTAGAAAACCCCAGCGTTAGTAGAAAGCCTGGACAGAGAAGCCTTAATGTTTCAAGTAGCGGGCATAGGGGAGGCGCCAGCGGTTGCTCTACTGGAGACACAGCCTCATTATTGCGCAGCCGCGAAAGCGATATAATTTTAGAGGATGGGCTGACTCTTGTACAGTTAGCACGAGTTGTCGGCGCGGGATGGCTTTAACAGGAAATTGGAGCAAAGTATTTAAAGCAGTTTGACGAGTGGAGCAGCAATTGAGCACAGGCACAAAAACTTGTGCCATGTAATCCGCACCGAACAACATCTACCAAACGTTCTTCAAAAACCTACAAGTACTCAAACACATAAGAGCTCGTTCTGCAGTTTTTAAAAGAACAAGAATGTGAAGGTCGAGAGGCACCCAACCATGGACGAACAATTATAAGGGGGCTACACATAATGGGGGTTTGCCAATGGGTACGACCTCAGTAGTTAATGCAACACGCTCGTACTATGTGTCACGCCAGCTCACCTGTAATTTGTGGAAACAAATGCCTGATTCAAAAAAAAAACGAACGCATTGTGTAGACAGGTCGGGGATAAAACCACAGTTTTACCAAAAAAATCCGCACACAAAGTTGTAAATACCGTCCGCGATTACCTGACAAGTAGATTCCCTTCCCACAAGTTGGGAACCACGTCTTCCCACAAGTTGGGAACCACAGTCGCAGGAAAAACTTCCGGTGGAAATCACAATAGCTTAAGAATGAGAAAGAAACCCTCAACTTGCATTCTTCCAATTGCTTGGTTCCATCGAAAGGTTGCTTAAGATGAAAATAAAAATAAATGAACACAAAAAATACGCTTTTTCTGCTTAAGGCGCACCCATGTAAAGGGCAAACATTCGCTTCGACGCTACGAATGTTTCTTCTTTACTTTACTTCCCGTGTTTTTTTGTTTGTTGTTATCCATATTAATGAACCATATTCTATAGGGGAAGCTTGCAAACAAATCGGAAAATTGAACCATGCAGAAAATAGAGGAAAACTGTTGCTGTATCTTCACTTTTTGCACGCGTTCTCGCATGCGACTCTTTGAAATGCGCCTTATACCCCGAATATAGGGTAAATCTCAAGCGTATTTTCACCACAGGTACAGCACAATACTCAATTTCAAACGAATGCGAAGAAGGACCCAGCAATTACTGTCCAAAAAAAGTTAAATCAAACTCAGTCTCAGTCTCCATAACCCCTCCATATCCTTTCAATTGGGTCTTCTCCTAGTGATGAACAGACATAAATGCACCGTATACGTTATCACTGACTTTTCTATCTTTTCTTTTTTTCCTATTCTAAATGTAAAAAAGGCAACAGAAGGTCGCACAAGGAGACCTCAAAGTTTGAAACCAACCTAACAAACAGTTGTTATGGGCCAGAAAGTTTCAAGGAGATTACATTCCTCCGCATCGATGAAGCGTACAAAGAGAGCGGGAGTTCAGAAACGCAGATTAAAAAAACAGAAACAAAAGAAAAATAAATTTAGGCAGGTTAAGGAATGTCAACCATCCAACAAGCTGGGCACACGTAACCCTGGCCATTCGCGTAGAAGGTAATGAAGCTTGGTCGGGGTATCTCATTGAATCCACCATAAGGTATGGACATCGCAATAACGGTTCAGCAGTTATTCCGATTTTCGTAAGACAAGCCGAATAGGAAATATACTTCACTACTTGTTGAAATGCTGCAGCCAGCATTTGCAGGCTCTACGAGGGATGGTTCTAGAGGACAGGATAATGAATATCACAAAAAATAGTAACGTAACAAACAAGCTAAAAAAATTCACCATCATCTCATAACTAGGTCGTTTTTTGTTTTCTTTCACGCCGAAAAAGCTGAAAAGGTCTTTCCCGCCGCACCCTGAGTTTAATAAAAAAACGCTGCAGGCACGAAGGGCGGAAATGGAAGCACGTGCAGTAATACAATAACGAATATAACGAACGTTAAAGATTGACTCACCCGGAAATCTGCCTGAATTCAGGCTCGAACTCACCACAGACGGCGCTTGTATCCGGACCGGGTAACGGACCAAATAGTGCAGGGGTTACCTCAATTCTATCAGACCAACAAACAAATCCTTAAGACAAGTTCGCGAAACGGAAGTATTACAAATATAGAGAACGCACCCAATAAAAAAACACGAAAAAGAGCAGTTGCTGCACTAAGAGAGGCGGAACTGTTACGGCAAACGACAATGCTAACGCACGATTTCCAATGTGAAAAGACATTTCTCGACGGACGAGTAATAAAACGAAACGAGATACAGTAAACAAACAAATACCGAAATAAATAAAGGTTTAATTGAAGTAAGCAAACTAACCTGCACGAAAATGAATCAACCTCACGCTGAAAATTTTTCCCGTATATTTTTGTAGAAAAACAAATGGAACCAACCTGATTCGGAACAAGACAACTCCTTCCAAAACAGCAGGGTAAAAATATCTTATGAAACCATTTCAGCCACTTCGGATTCAAATGACCATATGGTTCCTCGTTTTTCGGCTTGAAAACGCCTATGATCTTCTGAAATTAATGGTTATAAAGAAAGCGAATAAGAATCGTTAGTGTGATAAAAGTAAACTGTTACAAAAAGAAAATCTAATTGACACTATACGTCTCACCCGTGGCATAATTTGTTGATGGACAAAGGCTGCCCTCACCAGTACCAGTACTAACTTTCTACGAGTAAGTAAATCTCTCCAAGCTTTCTGCCATAGAAAACCCCTCCCGTCTTAAGGGTAAATTTTCTAGCCGATCTGATCTACTTGCAAGCCCAAGGAGGCCGACTTTACAATGACCCTTAAAGCGCACTTACTAGTTGATGGCTAGCTACTGTCACAGTCACTACTCCCGTAATTCTTTACATAACACTGTTGTAAATGAGAAGGTCAAATGTATAAATTTCCAGCATTTATCAGTTTCTTTCCGGGATACGCCACAAATTCTCCCTTCAGAATAGAAAAAACATCTTGAATGCGAATCGGCCCACACCGCGAATTGCGCGGGCGGGGGGGGGGGGAGGAGAGAAAGAATCAGTCGATGTGCAAGTTAGCATAGCAATAAAATCCTCAATTTACTGCTGACCACCCAAAAAGAGGGATGAAAGGCCTGGTCTGGTTCGCCCGAACAGAAGCCGATCCGAGATTTGACTCCATACTGTACACTTTTCTGGCAGTGCTACCGTCCTCTCACAGCGGTCAGGGCACACCATGATTAGTTCACTACGACTTCAAATGCCCCCCCCCCCTTCCTGGACCATCTTTAAGTAAACAGTTTGCAATGCAGATTTTTTTTGGTTTTTCCGCTTCGCGCGCGCTTATACCCACAATCTGTTGATATTTCACTATTTCTGATAGTTGGTCTCAGGCGTTCATGTCCTCTCGCCGTTCGAGGAGATTCTTAGACATCCATGGGAGGAAGGGGGGGGGGCGTATGAAAGGCATCGTTTGTAGAAGAGAAAATCAGATGCAAAATTTTCCATACCACGAAGGTGTGCCCTGACTTCAATAAACATTCAAGTCTAGTGGAGGCTACGCCTCCGTTAATAGAACAGCCGCGACAAAAAAAATCACAAAACCCAAACAGGGCTTTCTTCAAACAGCAGTAATCTGCACAAAAATACGAAAAAAAAGCGAGAGAAAAGTAAAATATTGCAAGCATCTGTATGACATACCCCTTGCATATTCTTGACAAAATATGAGCCACTCGATCCCTGGGCAATACGTTCGGGAAAAACTCCGTTATGTATAGCACGTATCGCTTCATCAACTACTGCTTTGAAGTCAGCACCCGTAGTACTACCATATTGTTCACCTAAAATAACTGAAATTTGAGATGTAACATGCGGCCCAATGAGCAGCCAGCATGCAAACAGAGTCTGAACAGCGTAAATCAACTAAAACGTTAAAAATTGAAAGGAAGCAATAAACGCCCGTTAGAATCTTTCAGAATTTTAGCCATCCCTCTAAACAATCAAAAAAAACTCTACAGTTACTGCAAACGTGAACGAAAATAATAGCTCAACTTTGGTACACTGTTCACTGCATGGATCACTCAAAGTTTCCTTGGGCAAATGCTCATTTTCGGATTTCCATGCGGTGAGCTCGATGGCACCTAAGTTGGAAGCAAGTGAACCACAGAAGTGACACTCCTATATGAATACTATAGATCCATTAAAACTGAAGTAGGATTTACTAACAGGATGAAATAGAAAACAGATCAAAGATGTTCTCCAGTTACATTACCGGAGAACAAATTTCGAACCGTCCAAAAATCGCCTTTTATCACTCACAGGCTGCGTTCATACTTTGCAGGGAAGGAGAGTCGGCGATTTGAGAGACTGCACGGCAAAGAAAGAATAACTATCGATCTGGCGACCGCGATCTCTCAAAAGCCGAATCTCTTCAGCCGCGAAAGATACACTTTATTTTCACACATGCTGAAATAACAATGTTCCCGCCGTCGACTAAGCCTTTTTTGGGATGCGGCACGCATTCTCCTTTCCCTCAGAGCCATAGCAGCAGTTTGAATGCAATAGCCCATACAAACAGTGGCGGGGCTAACCTATGTTACCGAGATTTGTCCTCCCAGATGAGCCTGGTACCATCTTACTGGTCTCCAGAGGCTTGGTTCCCCTTGAGCAGGATCCAAACCAAGTCGGACCGCGGGTGTGGTTCACGGATCATTGCCATTACACCACTTCCGCTTCTTTATACACATTAACTAATAGTAAAGGGTACACTTAAGAAAATACGATGAAGATTCTAAAAATGTAATAACTGGATTGTTCTAAGTTTTCCTCAGTTCTCCCAATACTGCATATTCTCATTACTCGGCGATAATAACTTTGGGTGAGCCATACCTGTAAGCTTTTTAATATGTGTCTTTGCCTTTACTTTTTCTTTTGTCTTTTCATGATCGTGTCTCATCCTGCAAGTCCACGAATTCCTGTCCAGTATTCTGTGAACTCCTGCCAAGGTTGGCGAGCTGGTGCGAGCTTTTTCTGGACGCCACTTCTCTTTTCCAAATCTTCACCAGTCATGTTGACAAGTTTGATGGAAAATTACAGGGTGACAAGCTTTATAGGGGTGCAAACAAGTATGTTTGGCACACACATGTCTACAATTTACAGGACTTGGTATACTGAGACAAGCGCTTACAGGTGTGTCCTCCCTCAAGTTACTACCGTCCATTACCTTTTACAGATTTCTCTGCTTGAAGCCAGCGTTTCATAATCGGGACGTACTTTCTCGAGTTGCATAACCCGCAATACCAGAGATTTGCATATATTCGGCGGATAACGCGCGTGCGACTTTAGTGAGCGTACTCGATGCAAAAATCGATTAGCGCTCCTAATATCGCCATGTGGTGCAAAACTACAATCGATTCCACCAAGGACCTTAAAAAAACTGTGCCCAGCACCATGAGGCTCCGCAAACAGTCACGGGATCAGTGCACCTGTAGCAGCACCATACCATACGTAACAGAAAAGTCAGCAAGGAAAGCCAATACCAAGGCCACCGTGAAGTGGCCATTAAGGCAACAGTGAATACCAATCCAAAATTATAAAAAAAGAATCGATAAATTAAATGGTAGGAATTTTTTGGTACCGGTATTAGCTCCTTCATCGTCGCTAGAAGCATGATGTTCTTCACTTTCACGTTCAAGTCGACGACCAAACTCGACAGTAACTGGGTCAGCAGATGACATTGGGCGATGTAGTAACGGAGTACGCTCTAACTGCAATGGCTACACTAAGAAACACGTCCGAAAAACAAAAACGAAACGAATGATACATCATTTCTTGCGAAATTCAATAATGTTCCAGGAGGGTTGCGAAAGAGGCGTAGTAATGGAGCAGGAATTTCGCACGCCAAAACTAGTTTAGCTTACTTCGTGGGGCGATCACAAACTAGCTCAATGAAGGATAAATCCTATGGTAGTTCTTTAAAAGTCGTTAACCGAGTGCATTAGCGGAACAATTAAGTAATTATCACGTCATTCTTAGCTTAAATAGAGCCTAATACGATTATGCGTTTATATAATAAATAAATGGGAGCTTTAATCAAAAGCGGATCCCGCATATTCTCCGAAAAATACGAAAACGGATCAATACTACAACAATGCATCCATCCCATATTCTGAATAAACAGAAACACATGCACCTGAACTGCGCCCGCCCACAATCCGAAAATTGGTATTCAAACTGATCAACAAGTTCATACTGACCCACAGTTCGCAATCCCGTGAAAAACTGAACACTTGGACAAGGAAACTTTGCGGGTGGTCAAAATGTCAAAACCGGTAACCATGGGAAGATTTTATGAACAAGGAGGATAGCAACACCTACATCAATAAAAATCTTTATAAAATTATTCTCACACATGTACACGCCCACAACTCGTACCAACTCATTGGAAAAGCATATCGAGCGCGAACATTTCCCTATGGAAGCCCTATTGTCTGCAAAACGGGCACGAATAATAACGTATGACTCACAATCTTGCCCTTTTTCTTCGTTTTACTGATGAGGCCAACGTTCTCGTCAGTGAAGTCGCCTTCCGATTCTGAACACTTAGATTAGTGACTTTTACTCGCAGTAATAAAACTCCCCACGTTTTTTTTTCTAGTCAAAAAATAAAAAAAGAATTAATAACCTGAATTACACGACAAAGAAGCTCTCATAGAAGCCGTGCCGGATTCTGAACATCAACATGTTTTTTTTTCATATACCAAAAACTGATTGAAATATATCCCCACATCAAACGACAATGAATGATAACGGATATTCCGATAAAAAGATCGATAGCCATACTTTTCACGACAAGCGGGTTCCCGCGTCGAAGAATTACACACAAGGGAAAAAGAAAAACTAAATCGGATCCTAAAAGGACAACTGTAGCGAAAAAGCCTATGCTACTTTGTGCAATGAAATATGTACTAAAGTACAATTTGATCTACCCGATCAATTAAGTGCACAAGAGTCGCGCAATTGTCAAGTGGCTATAAATCAGCTGAAGAAACATGTCAACAACTAGACCACCGTGGCGGCGGCTGAGGGGGTGGGGCAGGGGAAATCAGCGGATTCTCTGTGCGGAACTGGAATTGCCACCATGCGAAACCCCTTCCTAGCGGAAAATTTTGGTCCACCCACCCCGGGGACTCCTTCCCTCAAAAACTGCCATATCCATTCTATGGCAGTATGAGTTTGGCACGAAAAAAGTCCCTTAAACATCCCCCTCCCCTGAGGCGACTTCCACGTAAGGATGTTGTATGGATTGAGAATGTGCACGGATTTTGGAAAGATAGGTATCTGTACGAAGATTGTAATCGCGCTCGACGACACGAAATAAAAGGATCTTGAGGCTTCCGAACGCGCATGAAAACAACCAACGAGATATATTATTAGATGGAATGTGTTATTGGTTCGATTGAAGAAATATGTCGGGGTTAGGTAACCCTAGAATGAGTGATGAAACCAAAAAAGGCACGCCAAAGGCAATAGATCAACGATTCGGCATCGAAAGAATTCGAATCAAGTAAAATAAACATGAGTTATTGCGAAACGTGAAAAACCATTAGTCATGTGGTCTGTGTAATCTGTTATCAATTTTGGACCATCAAAATTGATAACTAGTACTATGACAAACACGAAAATCGATTGATTTGAAAAAATGTAAACAAATGGTACTCCATTGCACAAAGTTATACGAAAGTGAAACTTACAACGCAATTTTACCCTGCTGTTACGCACACGGCAGTGAAACTGCTTATGAACTGGCAAGAAAAAGACTGTATTGAAATGTATTCAGCGATAAATTGACAATGTAGTGCATTGTAAAGAAGGCGATCCATTCAGGACCAAAGCAAACCGTTGATTATAACGGAGATCAATGAAGTTACAACAATCATTGACATCATTGTCTAACGCCAAGGTTTTTTTGTCCCCACTTTGGCGCGCCATCGTCATGATGCCACCGCTGGCTGACGACTAGCTTCACGTATCGATTGGTTTGTTCTTGTTCTCGTTGTCGTGTCGACGACCTACCGCAGTTGTGCTGCCACTACTTAGCACATTCACAAAACATGTTCAAATCGTTTCCGATTATTTTCCGGTTATTTTAGTTACTTCCAAATACCTTAGTAGTAGTTTTCTCTTTCGCCGAGTATTTACCAGTTAGTATTTCGAAAATGTAGCGTGGAATCCCACTACTCGAGAGCAAATGTTCCTTCAAATGGTATCACGATTTTCAACGTCCATAATCTATTCCCATATATTTGCTATTTCTGAACTTTTAAGTCACAATTATGAACCAGTTACTTCAGTCTTCCGCTACGAGCAGAGGTCCACGTGCAGACATCCCAAGAAATATCGAAAATCGATCTAGCACTACTCCTTTATATGGATCTATACATAGATTATATGACAAATACGAACGAATAACTAAAGAGAAAAATATGGAAGTTAGCAGTTCAGGTGGTATTGACCACCATGAAAGTAATCAATAAGTTGCTGAAACAGCCTCGCATTGACTGACCGACTCGATCAATATTTCTTCGCTCTTGCTCGAACGTTACTCATTGTTGCCATTGAGTCATAAGTCTAATAGACATGACGTTTGTTATTGATTTGTCATCATGGAGGGTTCTATGAAGTGTTCTCATCGCGATGTTATTTAATTCCAATCAATTTCTCGTCTCCAAAAGCTTTTCCAATCAATTTTGAGTCTTTTACATCCTCATCGCCATCATCCCCTTTCATTTTCCTAGGTATTACTGGACGCTACCATATTCCGCTATCGGCCAAAATGGCATTTTGTGCAGACCCCCAAGGAACTGAAACCATGACAGATTTCATCTGTTACCTCGAAGAAACTTAGGAAAAGTAATATTCGCCTACATCCCTCACTTAGCCTCCAACAAGACATCTTGTCGCAATACCCGCCTCAATTTTTGCATAAAGGATTTGGTTCGCCCATCAATGAGCTCCCCCTTGACTCGGGTGGCAAAAATGTTCACTACGAGGCCACAGTTGCTTCCCCACAAGTTTTCCGAGCTGAATGACGTCCAAATAGAAAAAAATAGAAATAACTGTCGTAGAAATTAAAGAAATAATGCTCGTAACATTCGTTCTCAAGACATTTGTCAACCCTTCCTCCTCTTTTTTTTTATTCCCATATACCTTTTTCCCTTTCTTTCTGTCTTCCTTCCTTATTTTATTCCCTTCAAATGCTCGGCAAGAGAGCGCGAAGAAAAGGTCTCAGGATATCTGTAAACCGCGGAGCCTTCCTCCTCCTTCCTTTTTCCTTCCTTCTTCCTTCTTTTTCTTCCTTCCTTCTCTCATCCTCTTCCTTATTTTCCTTCCTCTAAATGCTCGAACAGAAGCTGTAAGAAACACCTCTGAACCCTCACAGGGAGAGAGCATCCGGTTTACAAATGCTTTTGACCGATGAGAAAACACCTCTGGGCCCTCGCACCTAGAGAACATCCGGCTGACTGGAGCTCTGTAACCGGTAACCCACAGCAGCTATGAAGGACCTTGTGCAAAAGTAGGATTTCCTTTCTCCGGTACGAACTATGCCCCATTTTACTTCAATAGGCTCACTACTCTTTCCAAGACTGCCTCACACTGCTAGCAATAAGCACGGCTCTGCCCATGAGCTAGCTAGCAATTTGACCGCACTCTAGCTTCATCTTGCTCGGAGCGACTTCCCGAGCGTGTTCATACTTCGCAACCCGATCGCTTCGATCTCGCGATGCGAGCGATCGGGTTGCTCAGTATAAACGCGCTCTCATTGTTGAACGCGTACGTATTTGCCGCAGGAGAACAGGATGATCAACATTTGAAAGAATGCGAGTCAGAAAAAGTGTAGGTATCGAGCTGGCGTTTTGTGGGAGAATACAATCACACTAACAGATTTCGCTATTTTGTGACGCCTTGTCGCGCGGTCTGCACTCTCTTTTTTCTTACCGGCACCGATCGATGCCCGTCTACTACATTACGCGCTTTCTCCCAATCAGAAGAGAAGAGAAGCATATGTGTTTAGAAGACACTACAGCAGCACGGATTTTTCGTTCCACCCCTTCTACTGACAAACAATCCCAAAACGTCGATTATCCCATTCCTGCAAAACGCCATAATGATGCTTTCTTCGACTGACGTGCATTCTCCCAAAAAGCAGCCATATGTTCAAGAGTGCGTATCGCGCCGGACGCGACACGGCACTAAACACGAGGCTGCGTCCACACTTTGCGTATTACTCTTGGTACCAATTTTGTATGTATTCTTTTCCGCATAAGTTTTTCATAGTATGTATTAACTTTTCCCTTCG